CCATTTCACTACTGCTGTTATGAGTCTGTTCAGTGTAATGTAAAGAGTTTTCTGCAAAAATTTGAAGAAGTGACAATACATTTATGTTCATTAAGTTAATAGGTAAAGTGGTTTTTGATTATATTAATTTTCTCAAAACTGCTACTTTTGGAAGTTGAAAAAAAAAAAGTTAAGTGTGTCTTGAATGAAAAATACCCCACGTTTAAAAATATGAAAATTGCATTAACTCTATTAAAGAACATGTCTTCAGTATTAATGTTACACAAATATTTCAATTGTATTAGAGAGACAAATTGAAGAAAATTATTTAATAAATATGAGGGTTATGAGGGGTCCCTGAAATTTTTTCTCCTCTGTAAGGGGTCTCTGAACCCAAAAAGTTGGAGAACCCCTGCCAACACTCCTGTTTTCTACAGAGCACACATTTGTCATTAATTATTTAGGTTCTACTAATCATAAACGCTCACATCTTGGTCAGCGTCTTAAATACAGTCTCTATTAAACAATTTACAGGCTCGAAAACACCATAAGCATTCGTTTCATTTCTAAATGATGCTTTAAAAACATAAAATAAAACCAACATAAGCTCATTAAACGTTACAGCGCAGCTATGCAGCGAGTAGGACATGGCAAATTGAGCCAGTCAAAACTGCTAAATAGTTAATATCTCCAACACGCCGACTGTGACCTTATAACATGGCTTATGTTTTATTTATCTGGTGAATTTATTGATGAATTATCCTTCTGTCCACAAATCAGCTGTGTAATATTGCTGATAGTTTTGAAGTATCACTGCACCTGCTTATGCATTATTTACGAGAAGATTCGGTGCTGTATTACAGTCAGCCTGGTTTGTTGTTTTAGGTTTAATAAAAACAAAAGTGCACTTTGAACAGTCTGGTAATAGGTTTCTTTGAAATGCCTAATGTGGACTGGGGGGCAAAGCCTATTTACCACCCACAGAGAGGGACTCAATGGGCAATGAAGGGCTCCAATCATCTGTGTGTGTGTTAGCAGCATGTGAGTGTGTGTGTATTTGCTACACAGGGGACAAGCCTTGCTCTAATTACTGCTACCTACAGAGGCTTACCCTTTCCTTCAGTTCTCTCCTTTCACTTTTACCTCTTTCACCACCGGTTCTTTTTTTTCCCCACTTTTTATATAAGCGCTTGGTCTCTTCACTTCTTTCATTTCAAATTCTATTTGTTCCTTCCCTCCCTCTCACCCCTTCATTTAGCTCTCTCTTTCCACTTACTATCAAGCTTGCCTTCATTAATCCCTCTCCCACCTCTCTGTAGGGTGGAGATACCAAGCCGAACCAAAAGTTTGCACCTTCCTAGAAAGTCATCTATGTTGACACAAGGGTCATTTTCTAGCTAATATACACACATAATATTCTAATAAAGAAAAGGATGTTTGGAGGAGATCAGAATCAGATGATAATCTGACTTTTTTTTTGGGGGGGGGGGGGGGTGTCAAAATTCTGAATAGTTTAATCAGACTCATCAAAGTTCGTGCTCAACAATCCATGTAAAAAAAAAAAAAAATCCAACAAAGTTAATTCAGGTCCTCTGGACGGTCTCGTTTTTTTTGTTGTTGTTGAAACGTTTCGTCCTTCATCCAAAGGACTTCATCAGTCTGAGGAGCCACAACAAACTCAGTACCATAAGTGGCTTATTCACATAAAGGGCCAACCAGTTTTATGGTGATAAGATGGTTTTTGGTGATGAGATGGTTTCTGGAGTCACATGTGAGTAAGCCACTTATGGGCCTGAGTTTGCTGTGTCTCTTTGGATTGATTAAGCCCTTTGGATGAAGGACGAAATTATATATATATATATATATATATATATATATATATATATATATATATAAAAAATAAAGAGAAAGTACTTTACTTAACTTTGTTGGAATTTTTACCTGGATTATTGAGCATGAACTTTGATGTTTTGAACCACTTTGGCTATGACTGCCTCAGAGGAGTCGATGGGGGAGAGGGCAGACCCCAGAAACAATCTTATCACCATAAAACTGGTTGGCCCACTATGTGATAGAGCTGTCATTTCTAACCCAAACCCAGAGCCCGGCCCTGCCCGACCCATATTCGAACCGGGCCGGGCCATAATAATGTACTTAATGTTCGGGCCAAGTCGGTGTCAGGCTTTTTTATTGTGTTAGCACGGTCGACGATCCAATTATATGCCGACATGGCTTGCCATACCTTCACCAGCCGCACGCGGTCATTTGACCGCACGCTGATTGGCCAGTTGAAAAAGAAAAGTTCAGTTAAGCTTCAGATGGACTACTGCCAGCGATCCATCAGCCCAAATGGACGTTCATTCAGCCGCTGCACTCAGCAGACGCACGGGGCCAACAACCCAAACAGGTGAGATCACAAAATATCCAACATGTCAGAGCAGTTTCCAATGCAGGTAGTAGCAGGGGAAGCATTTAATGCGCTTTGAAGGCTCCTCAGCTCCGATCTTCTGCTCCCTTTACTCATCTGTGCTCGTACACCGACCGTTAATAATAGTCGGTGGTATAAACAGTTAAAACTTAATTAAAAATGTCTGGGTTTTTGTCGGGATCGGACATGTAATTACTGTTAATTTGTCGGATCGGGTGGGGTTGGGAGATGATGGGGCCGGGGCAAGGTCGGGTATGATTTTTTGGACCCAAGTTTAACTCTACTATATGAGTAAGCCTCTTATGGGACTGAGTTTGTTGTGGCCTGATGAAGTGATGAACGGACTGATGAAGTTCTTTGGATGAAGGACAAAATGTTTCAACAACAAAAAAAAAGAAAGTGGACCTGACTTACCTTTGTTTAATCAGACTCAATTTATGAGACGTCACATTTAAAAAACATATTTATCACAAAACTGGGTTGAGTAGATAGAAACGCTGCAACAAGTCAGTTAAACCTCTTTAAAAATGTAAAATGTAGGTTAGCCTGATGAATGATCGGATTTTGTTAAAGCTGCAGGTGATTAAGTCAGGATTTGGCTTTAAAAGCATGAATTCATGAAGCCATCCCATGAACAATTCAGGTGGTGGCGAATCGATGCAGAGAGTGCTTTCTTGGCTCACTTGTAGACCCTCGGTGCTGATCAATCATCATTTGAATGCCAATGTCTATCAGATCATTGTTGCTGACCATGTAGTTCCCCTTTTGGTAACAATTGAACATTTTATGTTGAGTACTATGAAAATGCAACTAGTCGTGGAGGCTCTTTGTAGTATTTGTTTGTGTTTCTAGAACATTTAGTGTCAAACAGGGTATGAGTGGGAACAATGTTTCCATCGCTCAAATTGTTTTTGGCTTCTGTTATTCTTTGTCAGCTCCCCTTCCTTAAGATTATTGTGCTGTACACTGTTTTGAGTTTCCAAATGAAGCCTTATCAATACTAAATAATTGTGCAGTGTTTACTTACAAGCAAAGTAAAAGTGGAAAGAAGAGACAAAGAGAAAAATACAGCAATGAATAAATGATAAATACACTGTACTTGTATAGTGTCTTTCTATCTTATTTCAAGATACTCAAAGCTCTTTACAACAATCTGTGCCCTCATTTACCCATTCATACAGCACTCTACTAGATCTCTACACAACGAATTGAACAAATCATTCTAAAGAGAATAATCAGTGCTTTATCACCTTCATACACTGATGGGACACACATCAGAGGCAATGAGGGGTTCAGTGTCTTGCCCAGGAACACTTCGGCATGTGACTGCTGGTGGATTCGAACCCTCAGTTCTCCCATTGGAGGACGACTGCTCTAACCACTCATGCACAGCCACCCTAGAGTGACCTAGATTTTCATTAGACTACTTATTCTCTCCCTGTGGATGTAAAGCAAACAGTACTAAACCTCAGCCAGTTACATACTCTGTTGAAATTGCAATATAAACATTAAAAACCACTTTTTTTG